GACAGGTTGTGATCCGCCTTTCGATACTTCGACCCTTGCCAACACGCATCCTTGGAATGCTTTTGATACGATTCTATCGTCGCCTCCGACTCCATTTCTCGCACGGTGCTCTCGACCCGAACCCTCTCCTGTTCAGCTCAACGCATTAGATTCGGATGCCTCCTCACTACAATACCCCCCTTGCTCGTGTACTCTTCCGCACCTGTCGAATTATTTTTTCGCTTGTCATTCGCCCGTGCTTGCCGCAGCTGTACCACAACACCCACCTGACCAAGAGCGCGTGCTACTCCAAGCCTCGCTTCGACTCGACCGAGTTCATCGTGCTGCACTTTGCGGGAGAGGTATTCATGCCAATGCTGTTGTTGACGATGGTTGCGATGGTGTTGGCGGCGGTGGTGCGTGTGTTGTCGGGCTCGTTGCTGTTGTTGCTTACGGTAGGTCTGGGTGCCTTTACAACGAGCATTCTCATCTGACGGAATCGAAAGAAAAAGCTGGTGCTATTTCGAGGTTGAGAGCTCTACGGCCAATATTAACCACGTGGGTAATCGCTTCGTTCTGCTTTCATTCATGTCAATCACTTGCTCCTCTCCTTTTGTGCGTTTGCTGCTCAAGGGTATGTATCCCTTCGCGCCCCTCCCCCCGTCCTCCTCCCGTGATGTTGATGGTCCCGTGCCGTGCCGTATCGTTTTTTTTATTTTTCGTGTTGACGTAGGTGGTGTACGACATCGAGGGTTTCTTGGAGAAGAACAACGACTCCCTCCACGACAATCTCCTGGACCTGCTGGACACCACGGTCGACCCCTTCCTCCGCCGTGTCGTGGAGTTTGTCGATCCCGAGGCTGGGAGTGAGTCAATCACACGTACCATACCATGTACAATCTAATTTGTACCTTATCGTTACAGTAACGACTACCACTGTTGAAGACAGATAGATTATTTGAGAGAATTCCGGACTTGAGAGAGTATTGCCTTGTCCCAACTCTCTCTTTGACCGCAGCTGTTACTGTGTGTTCTTGGCAGATATATCCGCGTACATGCATGCCATTTGATGTTGTTGGATCGAACCCGTGTAATTCCGTTACATTTAATTCGATGGGTATAACCTTGGGTGCTGTTGGTATATTTCCGGATGGTGTCGGTATGAACGTATGCTTGGCCGGCGAGGGTGATGCCGGCGTGACTTGATGTCGAATAGGCCCGTCCTCCCTTACAAGGAACATTGGCAATCGTTGGGCTAGGGGAGCATCTTTATCTTTCCGTTGTAGATGGTGTTGGTTGATACGGTTCCAATGGTGTGGAGTTTGTTCGCGAATTTGATATTGCAGGTGAAACATTTCAAGTTGGCTACAGGACACTTTTCCTACGTTTTGATGTTTGTGGGCGAAACTAAGTGCAGGCGTCTCATGATACGTCCAAGTACCCGCGCTTTTCGGACAAATATCAAACGGCTTTGTTCACACAGAAACTTCGTTATATCCCCCTTTCGCCCCCGCTCCTCGTGTGCTTTGGCGGCTAGTTTTTCCTTCCCCCCTGACCCGCTGTACTTTTATCATGTTTCCAAACTCTCGCACGCGCCGGTGTCGACTCTCGTGCATGCATTCGCTTCTCACTTCTCGCTTCTCGCTTCTCGCTTCTTCCACAAACAACGAAACTGGAACCGGGGTACGAGCAGTGGAGCCCGCCGCTTTCAACAGCAACGCTGCCTTTGGAAACCCCTTGTCCCCAGCCGTCTCCCCGATGCGGCAAGCAGCGGCGGCGTACTCCCCGACGTCGCCGATGTCCCCGGCGTCCCCCGTCAGAACGCCTTCGGCGGCGGGCGGGGTGGCGGCGGCTACCGGGCGGTCGCCGCCCCCCTGGGCTAGCGGGGGTGCCGGTGCAGGTGCCGGCGGCGGCGGTGGTAACCTGAAGACCTTTTCTTTCGAGGATCAGCGGCGGGGCGGCGGTGATCCCGGGTCGTCCCCCGGGGCTGTCGGCGGCGGATCCCCGGCTACCGCGCTCCGCTCCGTAGGCAGACAGGTGCGTTTTTTTGTCCTGTTGTTACGTTGAGTCGGGGGTGGGGGTGAGAGAGGGCGGGGCAGGGTGCGGCAATGTAAGGATGTCGGCGGACGCTATGCTCGTGATGTTTCCATAGACTTTGGCACGATTTTTTTTTTTTGGGGGGGGGTTGGTGGGCATGTCTGCGTACCTTTATCCGAAAGGCGAAAAACTCGTGGCGTATTCTAGGTGCCCTCGACATTTTCACCGCGGGAGGTTTGACTGCATCCCCGCCACCCACCCACCCCCCCTCCCTCCATTTCCCGCCCGCAACTTGGTCGTGTGTGTGCCCACTCGCTTGTTGCCTGTTGTTTCGACAGGAGAGTCGCAAGCCGCGCAGCGCCGCTTCCGGCGGCGCGAGGGTTTCCCAGATGTCGTCGACCGTGACCGTGTCCAAGGCTTTCCGGGGACAGCTGCAGAACCTCATGGCCACCCTGCGCGCCACCGAGCCGCACTACATCAAGTGCATCAAGCCCAACAATGTCAAGGCCCCAGGAGGCTTCAGGTATTGCGGTGATTTTTCCGTTTTGTTTTGGCTGGGAATTGGAGGGCAAGGAGAGGAATCGGGCGGGATTATGTTTGAGGCAAAGCGCGGTGTTTAGCAGTTGCTGGCCAAGTTGTTCATCTGTTTGTCAGCGTAAGATTATCTGCTGGTATGCGCAGCCGTGTCTGCCCGATCAAAGCAATCGAGACGCCCCGCCCCGTTCACGCTGCTTTGGCCATTTTTCTGTGTTCGCTGCTGCTGTTGCTGCTGTGGATTGTTGCGCCGCTGGTGATGGTGGTGGTGCAGCGCGCACTTGGTGCACCAGCAGCTGAACTACTCGGGAGTGCTGGAGGTGGTCCGCATCCGCAGGGAGGTAGGTCCGCCCAAATTTGTTGGAAAGTTTGTTGTTGAAGACCGATTAAACCGCCATTTACGCTCGTGAAAGGAAGAATATGAATTCGGAACGTGTCCCAGATCCACGTGTGTATTGCGTCCTTGGAGTGCTGGACGTGGCCCGCATCCTCAGGGAGGTGTGTTCTACCACATTTTTAGGTGGAGCGCGTGGTGCACGAATGGTTGAATCACCTATGTTATATTTTTTGCTGCTGTCTTATCTGTGGCGTGCTTCCGTGAAGTGGCTGCTTGCCTCTTTTGTCTCCACTGTGCTCCGTAGGCGGCGATTCCGGGCCAATCCGAACCGCGTTCTCAGCACCGTTGTTGTCATGCCGCCAGGCTTGTTTTTCGGGTCTGATAGTCTTGGAAGACGTTGGCCAGCCAGAGCTTCGTCGTTTGGACGTCGACATGTCACAAGCGTGTACCAGCGGCAGGCATGGCAGCGCGGGCACCAACTGGCCCAAGTTGGGTCTGTTCCGACGTCAGGCGTTTCCCGACCCATTACAGAGCTCTTGTTCTTTGTATCTGATCTCTACGAACTCCTGTGACAGGCGTATCCCGGGCGCACGCCGTTCCTGGAGTTCTTCGAGAGGTTCGAGCTGTTGCAGCGGCAGCTGACGAGGGCGTCTGTCGACGGCGGCGGGGAGGGGGGCGCCGCTTTCCTTCCTTCGGCCGCCCACGCCACCGAGGAGGAGGCGAAGGAGGGTTGCCGCACCATCCTGGGGGCCTTCTTGCCCGAGAAGTTCTACCAGATCGGGCACACGCGGGTGAGTACGGGGAAGTGTGTGTGTAGAGGGTAGAAGTCGGGCACCGCGCGTTTGTTGAGGCAACATGTTTTCATGCGTTTTTGTAGGGCTTGGGGAGAGTGCGCATGGCGATGGAAGGAGTGGGCCCCTCCAGTCGGAGCAACTTTTCTGCTTTCGTTTTCTGCGGGTTGGGGAAAGTATGTATAGCGGCGGGAGGCGTGCGGCTTTGGGGCAGTACACCTCGTTCTTTTTGTTGTTCAAGGGGCGGGCTTGCCTCGCGTTGGCGAAGAGTAGAGTCCTTACCCAGGTCAGGTTCACAACAACGTGAGTGCGGACAGAGTCCTTTAAGACTCACACGATATTGAGTGTGGGAGTACGGGAGAGCCGTGGATGGCTCATAACGCAGTGAGTGTGGGGAAGATTTGTGCAAGGGTTGCGCGCTGGTTGGACGCCAGCTGTGTAGAGCAGGGAACAATCAAAATAGGCTTCCCAAAAAGTGTGTTTTTTCGGATATAGGTTAGCGATGGTTGGAGTCGATGCTTTGCTCGTCGTGGGTGTACCTCTCTTCGGGATGTATGTATATTGCAATGCGTTCGAGCAACTCCCTGTTTTCAACTTCGACGTTTTTTTGTTCCATCAACTGCTGCTGATCTGCGGCTTCCGCGACGCTGTTCTTGCGCAGGTTTTCCTGAAGGAAGAGGGCCAGGACATGCTTCGCTCGTGCATGCGGAACGTCTACCACCGAAAGGCGGCCCTCATCCAGGCCTGCGTCCGCGCGATGCAGGGCTCGATGAAGCTTAAAGAGAAGAAGGCCGCCGCCATCGTCATACACGCCGCCGCTCGCCGTTTCATTCTCAGGAACCGCTACAGGAGGGTGCTGTCAAAGGTGTGTAGGGAGGAGCAGAGGGGCGATTTATTGCTTTGCGTGCGGCGAAGAATAGGATCCCAGTGGGGGAGGGAGGTTTTGTGTTCTTGACGGAACTAGGCTGTGGCTTGTGTATAGTTTTGAGAGTCTGGAGGCGTGAGCTGTGGTTGGGGGTTGTGGGCTGTGGCTTGGGTATGGTTCTGAGTCGGGTGACGTCTAGCGCAGGAGTTGTGGTTGGGTGCAGGTGACGCCGAAAGGCGTTGTTGTTCCTCTGCCTCGAAGACATCTCGCACTCACCACCCTTTGCTATGCGCCGCCGCAGCTCGATTTTAGTTGTGGTTGCCCCGCCGCAGGTGTTGCTGCTGAAGCCATGCCTTGTCTCGCATTCACTTGACTTCGCTAACTTTTTGTTTCGCTTGACGCCCGGCCGCAGGTCTTGCTGCTGCAGCGCTGGTACCGGAGCCGGATGATCCGACACAAGTACAAGGGATGTATCGCCTCGGCCGTTGTTATCCAGAAGCGGGTCCGCGGCATGCAGGCCCGGGAGTTCCGCCTGCTCCAAGAGGTTGCCGCGATCACCATCCAGAGGTGTATAACCGTCAGTGTGCGATACGTTAGTCTTGACCGCGAGGATATTTTATCTTGGTTTTAGTAGGGGTTGGGGATGGGGATATGAAACCCCCCTCTCAAATTCATCGAAAAATAATATTTCCCTCTCGAAGGCGGTCAGTACGAGCAGGGAGGGAACGCAGAGGAGGGGGGCGGGTGCCTTGTTACATGTGGCGTGGTTGCTGTTGTCGGAGTTTGTTGTTGTTGTGGTTGGAACTGTCGGAGGAACGGCAGCCGGGGGGGCGACGACTACTACACAACAGCATCACATCACGATTTTTTCCGGCACATACTGATGGTCAAGATGCTTTCCGCTCGCGCGGGCGAGCAGTGATCCGTTCAATGATAAGCCTTATTTTTTTCACTGTTGATGTGAACGTCCAATGAGACCAAACGCCCAGGCGACACCACTTACCGTACCCCAAACGGGAGGAGCGAACCTTAAACGGAACCGTGCGAATCCCCAAACCAGCGACGCTCGAGTTAAGGTGTCGGGATTGCGTTTGTCATCATCGCGGTCAATCTACGCACCCTTCCCGCGCTTGTTTTTGATCGGCCACACAGGCACGCCCGCGGCATGGAGGGGAGGAGGTATGCCGGCCAGATGCTGATTGAGCTGTGGATGGAGGAGGAAGAGAACAAGAGGAAGGCCGAGGAGTTCAGGATAAGGAGGCGAGTTTTGTCAAGTCATGGGGGTGGGGTAGTGAGTGGATGAGCGTCTTGGGGCAGCCTAATCTTGAATATTTGGCCCCAATTCGATGGAGGTACGACAACACAACTGATATCAGCAATACCAGCGTCTAGCCGCACCCACTTGCGGCGGCCAACAAAGAATAGGCCAAGACGTTCCTTGTGGTGTTGTATTGAGTTCCAGCAGTTTTCTTTTGTTGTCCTCCCTTTTGTTACTCCATCCCACCATTCTTATTCCTCACATCGGTACCCCCNCAACCCCCCCCCCCCAATCCATCTCATCTCATATCTCTCTCTATCTCTCTCTCTCTGTGGTATTTTGTTTTCCCCCTATTACGCAGGGCGGCGGCCATAATCCGCTCCTGGGTGCGGCGGATGGTGCAGAAGTACGGCCTCAAGGCGCAAAGGGTGGCGGTCGCCCGGATCCAGCGGGCTTGGCTTCGCCGCGCTCGCAACCGCTGGCTGGAGGAGAGGGTGGGGCGTGTGTTCGCCATCGCTCGGTCTGGAGACGTGGACGGCATGATGCGGGAGCTTCGGCACAACCCGGACGTGCTGTTCATGCGCGACAGGTGAGAACGGGGGCGGGGGGCAATGGGACGAAAGGGGGGGTGACGGGACGGGATATAAAGGGCGAAGGATGGGATGGGGTGAGAGGCGTGGTTGTCGACAACGGACCGTGAGTGAAGGAATGGACGACCGAACCTCCTTGTGTATGTTCTGTAGGGTGTACACCTTTTATGAGTATCGTGTGTTATTGTTGTGAGTGCTCTATCGTCTTGTGTGCCACGCCCCATGTACAGTCATGTCGTGGACCATGACTCCTTCCTTGACGCCTCACGCCTTTCCGCTTCCCTCCTCGCCTCGTAATCGTGTGGACGACGCGCGCGCACACACACACACACACACACACACACACACACACACACACACACCATTTTTCGACGTCCCTCCACCGTCCTTACCCCTTCCACATTTTGTTAGTGTTTCTGTCCAATAGTATGGTGTTTACCTGATCCCCCCCCCCCCCCCCCC